AACTAGCACGGATGTATAGTGCACACGGACAGAAAAAGGGGGTCTTATTATGGCTGTCTATTGTCTTTTTGTTTTGTTTGTTTTGGAGTGGAGTGGAGGAGATAAAAAAAAGAAGAGCGGGGTGATGGTGGAAAGAGAGGAAGAAGAAAAAGATAGAGGAACAAAGTTGAAGATAAGTCAACTATGGAACTACATAATAGATGACGTAAAAATAAACTGCGGAATTTCCACACACAGTTGTAAAATACCAGTCCTTCTAACAGCACTAGCAACCGTGTGTCTGTATATCTGTATACCTTGTCTCTCTCTATCTCTCTATCTCTCTATCTCTATCCCATCTCCATCTCGCTGTCTCTGTCTCTGCGTTGTCAAACCCCAAAAAAAAAAAGCGGTGGACGCCTTCCCGATCGGCGCAGTTAGGGCTCGCCCCCTTGCCGCATCCGGTTAGCTAGCCGAGGCCGGCACATGACGTCATTTCGGGTAATCCGAGTTCGCGAGCAAAAAGGCGACTTTGATCTGTCTTTTCTTTACAGATTAGTAGCAGAAGGAGTATTCTGTAGAGAGTAGAGAGTAGTACTGCTTGTTGCTGTCGGCTGTGGCGAGCGTCGGCGGGATCTTGGAAGCAGTCAGTCGTCGATATGACATCAATCTTGTCATCGTCAAGCCACGACTAGTACTGGTAAGTCAAGGCATGGGACCCTTTCCCCCCGTTCTTCTGAATGAAGGTAGTGTATGTACTCCCTGGCCTCGAGGGAATATTACTGGAGTGAGCAGCCCAACATCGTCCTCCCGAAATCTCCTTGAATTTCCAATCACCGGCAAAGAAAGACACTAGTAGCTGGGAGAAGGGAAAAGAAGAGCATACATCAGGGACTTGGCCAACTATGTCGGAGCTGAGGGGAACGAAATTGAATGCTCCAGATATACGAAAAAAAAAAAAAAAGAGGCCCTGGCACAAGTCCAGTCTAGACTCCGCCCCGGATTCTTCAAAATGATGTCTGCGTGCACTTCCAGCATTTATTTTATGTCAATTAATTATTTGCTTTTCGCAGGCTGGCGCTGGATTAGACAGGGGGGAAGGTTCGCTTGCGGCGAGACTGCAGTTGTATCAAGTTACATTTGTATAGATTAATTGCTCCTGGTAGTTATTGGTACAAATCTCCTGGCAAGTAGCACTACTACTACTACTACTACTACTACTACTACTACTACTACTACTACATACCAGTATTCATCTCTGGAGTCCTACTCAAGAGCGCTGTATCAATCAGCCATTTCCTGTCCCATCCACCGTCCTTCTGCCCTCGGGGTGGTCTCGAACCAAGGTTTGTTTCCCTGACGGCGACGAGCAACGGCTTTCCCAGCTTGCTCCAAGATTCCATTGTTTCGCTGTTTTCCCTGGCTTCTCTGGCTTCTCTGGCTTCTCTGGCTTTCCTGTACCCTGGCTGGCATTGCTGTCTGCTGTCTGCTGTCTGCTGTCTGCTGTCTGCTGTCTACAACGGCGAAAAAACATTCAATTACGTCAACCACAAGAAACTCTGTGTTAAAGTGATTTAACTAACTAGTGCAAGTAAATAACTAAGAATCCTGGAGCTCTGTTGTTCAGACTTCAGACTTCAGACTTCAGACTTCAGACTTCAGCGTCCAGCTGACATTTCTGTTTTCTTTTTTTATCGTGTTTATTTTTTCTACACGGTATTTATTTATATTCCCCGAGCCACGCAAACCTCCAAGCGCTGTTTGCTGTTTAAAGCGACGCCAGACCGAGACAAACCTTGGGAAGCACCAGCCGCAGGAAGCCAGTGGCTCCGCTGTTCGTTCTTCCCTCGCCACCCTCGATATCTTTTTACTTGTTGATTGTCTCCAGCAGAAAAATCACAAAGGGCTTCCCCCGTCCAAGCCGCTATCCTGGCGCTAATTCCAGACTCCGCGAAACGTTTCCTTTGCTTCTCTCCCTCCCTTGGCCCCGCTGCTGCTGCCGTTGCCGCCGTTGCCGCCGTTTCGCCCTCATCCACCCGAGACCATCCGCCTCCACGACCTTCCAAGACGCCTTCAAGCAGGCCTAGAAGAGGCCCACGGCCATTTTCGGTATCCCTCCCCCTGGCATATGGAGATATGTTGATGCCTCGAGAGGCCCTGCTAGTCGGCTCCGCGCCGTCCGTGAGCTCGGGATCGCATGCTGGTTCTAGTACCCCGAGCTCGACATCACTCAGCCGCCGTCGCCCGTCGAGCGCTGAATGCTGCGGCTATGCCCACGGCCGCAAAAGCGACGAGTCGTTATCCGCGCTGTCGCTGTTCGGGCATGAGAAAGTTGTCGCCTCGGCTAATGGGATTGCCGTTTCCATCTGCCTGGCTGAGCCGGTGCTGTTTCTTGAAGGGTTCGATCGCAATAACGCAGACACCACCAAGACATCGATTCTGCGGGGGACCCTCCGCTTGAAGCTATCCAAGCCGGCGAAGATCAAGAAGATCTGTTTGAACTTCAAGGGCATGGGACAGACGAATTGGCCTGAAGGTGGTTCCCCACTTGTTCCTTTGCTGTTCCTTTCGTTTCCTTTGTGTGTGTGTGTGTGTGTGTGTGTGTATAAAGCATTTCTATTCATTATGTAGCTAATTTTCTTCTTGAGTATTATTTTTACAGGAGTTCCACCCAAAAAGAACCAATTCCACGAGAACCATGCAATATTGAATCACACCTGGATGTTATTCAATGCGCAGCTCCCAGATGCCGAATATAGCCACGGAGCCGACCACATCAGACTCAAGGTACCAACGGTGTCGACGAAAGAGCTGGCAGCGTCGACAATCGAGCTCCTCGCACTTTCCACTTCAAATTTGTCGCGGGCGAAACAGTCCAAAGATGTCAAAAAACTGTCCCTTCAGTCAAATTGCTCACGGAGCTTTGCGAAAGGCGAATTCCCCCATCATGGTGAACCCAGTGTATTGGCGAGAGGCTTCAAGCTTTTCGAGCCCGGCGATTATTGGTACAATTTCGAGCTCCCTATCTCCTCACGGTACCCCGAGAGCATAGACTCGCCTGCGGGCTGGGTTAGGTACATGTTAGAAGCAAGTGTTGAACGATCAGGGGCATTCCGTCCGAACCTCCTCGGCCACAGAGAGGTGCCGTTTATCCGGACACCCCCGGAGGGGTCCCTGGAGCACGTCGAGCCCATTGCCATTTCGCGAACGTGGGAAGATCAGCTACACTACGATATCGTCATTTCGGGCAAATCTTTCCCGCTGGGTGGGCAGGTCCCCATTGCCTTTAAGCTGACGCCCCTGGCGAAGGTCTCGCTGCATCGCATCAAGGTGATTGTGTCCGAGAACACCCAGGTCGTGGCGAATAACAGGACATATCATAGAGTCGATGGGTCGAAGAAGGTGCTTTTGTTCGAGAAGCGCGCGGATTCGCAGAGTACCAGTGCGTTTCCCGGTAGTGTTTGTAGGGTAACTGCTGGTGGCGGTGTTGCGTATGATGCTCGAAGAGAGGCCGCCGAGGGAATAGAATATGTGAACCCACGGAACACCAATCTGCTGGGGGATCTGGAGGAGAGCTTTGAAGTCGGCCCGACGGAGATGGAGTTCAATGTGCAGCTTCCTACCTGCGCAGAACTGAAGAAAAGAGACCCTATTCGTTCGCTACATTTTGATACTACGCATGAGCAACTACAGATACACCATTGGATCAAGGTGAATTTTTTTTAATCTTTTTTTTTTTTTTTTTTTTTTTTTTTTCTTATAGAAATATATCTACTTTTTAACACATATACCCAGTACCAACGCATGTCGGCAAGCGGAGACAGCAACTAACAGATTGAACAAAAACCAGATCGTTCTCCGCCTCTCGAGAACAGACGAAAGAGACCCCAGCAAACGCCGCCATTTCGAAATCTCCATCGACTCCCCCTTCCACATCATGTCCTGCCTTGCCACGCAATCCAATATCTACCCGCCCGCCTACTCCTCGCCGATCCAACCCGCCGTCCAACGCCAAAATCTCTACTGCGGCTGCAAGATCGCCCAGCGAGACTCCACCACCCCGCCATCATCCTCTAGCGGCAGCAGCAATGGAACCGGCCTAAACAACTTTGCACGATCAAACGACACTGGTACCCTTGCTGCTGCTGCTGCTGCTGCTGCTACTGCCGCCGCCCACCCCACCCGCACCTTAACAAACAACACCAACCCCACCAACCCCAACCGCTTCAGCAACAGCAACGGGAATGCCAACGCCCGCCACACCCCACGCCCCATCCACCTGCTCCGCATCCCTTCCTTCGCGCCACCGTCCTTCGACGACCTGACCCCGCCCCCGCCCCCACCCCTCCCCACCCCACCGCCAGATTACACCACGATCGTGCCGGACGACGACCCGCGTGCGGGCCTGCACGATTACTTTTTGCGGCTGACGGTGGCGGAGCGCGAGTACGAGGAGGGCATGCGCGGGCGGTCGCATGTCGACGTGCCGCTGACGCCGGGCGGGAGGGTGCATCGAAGCATGGATATCCCGAGGGAGCGGGTTGTGGAGGAGGTGTGGGGTGGGAATGTTGCCGGGGGCGGGGGGAATGGGTGAGGGATATATTGGGTGGGAGGGAGAGAGAGATTATTTCTTCATTTTATTTCTTCAATTTTCGGAAACGAAATACATGGGATATGAAATACATGGGATATGGGATGGGATGGGTACTTCTAGTACTCGTAACTTGTATTTTGATTGTTACTAGTAAGTAGCATAGTATTACTCTAGTATGGTATGTTAATGTTAATCATTAGTTAATCAGTTTGTTAGCTGCTGCTCTTCGAGATTCAATGGGGGAGTTGAATTGAGATGAGATGCGAGATGCGAGATATCTAGATAGATTGGACCATGAGTTTTTTTTTTCTTTTTGGGGTTGATTGTTGGTCGCATGTATGTATGTAACGTAATCAACCACTCAACGCCCGTCTACACTCAACGCCCACCCAATCCTCATTTTTTCATCCATCTTCAAACACCCACAAGATGCACCACGAGGCAGTTATATTGTCCGCGATTGATGATTTGAATGCCCAATTGGTTCCTAATTACACTGTGACCGCTGAGAAATATGGAATCAGTCGTTATACACTCTCACGGCGCTATAGAGGTGTTCAAACGTCAAGAAAGGAAGCAACCTCTATCCACCGCAAAATCCTCACAGATTCGCAAGAAAATCGACTCCTTTTTCATATCAATCGATTGGCAGATCGCGGTTTCCCTTGTACGCCCCAAATCCTTCATAATCTTGTTGTTGAGATATTAAAAGAACCTATTGGAGCCAACTGGGTGGCAAGGTTCTGTCAACGCCACAAGGATGTAATCAAGTCAGTTTACCTGCGAAATATCGACCAAAAACGCAAGATTGCGGACAATTCTACATACTTTAAGCATTATTTTGATCTTGTATATATTGCTTTTCTCTACTGCTTTTCTTACTTTTATCTTGCTAATTTATTGTTGATTTGCAGCTACAGGAAAAGATCACTAAATACAATATTGAACCTGGGAATATCTACAACTTCGATGAAAAAGGATTCCTATTGGGCTTCATCCACACCCTCAAGCGTATTGTATCAATTAATGCGCTCAAATCCGGCCGTACAATAGGTGCCAGCCAGGATGGCAGCCGCGAATTCATTACACTACTTGCCTCAATTTGCGCCGATGGAACCTCACTCCCACCTGCTCTCATATATCAAGGGGAATCAAGGGATATGCAAGATACTTGGCTGGAAGATTTTGATAGCAAAAAGGATCAGGTCTACTTTGCTGCTTCAGAGAATGGATGGAGCAATGATGAATATGGGTTAATGTGGTTAAAGAAGATCTTTGAACCTCATACAAAAAAGAAAGCAGGGCGTGGATACAGGCTTCTTATATTAGATGGCCACTCATCCCATGTTAATATGGCATTCATCAATTACGCGGCTCAGCATAAGATTTTACTTGCTGTCTTTCCTCCCCACTCTACACACCGATTACAACCGCTAGATGTTGGGATATTTGGACCATTGAGCAAATCATATTCTAAGCATTTGAATGAGCGAATGAGAACCGGTATGGGATTTGTACGCACTACAAAGAGGTCTTTTTGGCAGCTATTTGATGCTGCTTGGAAGGAATCAGTTACATCCTCAAATATTATATCCGCGTTCGCTGCGGTTGGCCTACATCCATTTGATCCAGAACAGGTTCTTAAAAAGCTTGCAATACGCCCTTGCACCCCCCCAGACGCGCAATATCGACCCAGAAATCAGGAAAGAAGACGTCGCAAGCGTGGCAGGGCAATGGGGTTACTAGATTCTTCAAATCCGTCATTGGCACAGTTCTTTTCACCGGCAAAGGTGCAGAGCATCCGCGAGCAGATGACTGCCGCAGAGGCCGCCAAAAAGGATGAACAGGCTCGTAAGGAGGATGCCAAGTTGCAACACGCTATTCTTAAGGAGCAGAAGGAGACAGATATCATGTTACAGCGAATGGAGCGGGAGGCAGCTCGCCAGGCAGCTAAGGAGCAAAAGGAGATGGATAAGGCCGCAAGAGCCGCTCAACGGCAGATTGACAGGGAGCTTAGGGATGCAAAGAAGGCCCAAGAGCAAAAGGAAAAGGAAGAACGAGCTGCTGCGCGGCAGCAATCGCGGTTGGGGGGGGGCCAGGTTCGGGGGTCCAAAAATCACCTTCCTAATCGGGAAATCAGACCCTCGATTTCGCAAAGAGTGGCTAAATCGCGTTTTCAGAGCTCTGCCAGGTTGCCCGCGGGTCCGCCGCCGGGGGGTCCGGATGATATTGCAACCCCTACGGATTTGACCGCTGCCTGCTCATTGAATCTGCCTCCACCCAAGATTTCGCGTTCCGGGCGAGTTATTAAGCCCAACAAACATCTTTTGAATTAGCTATATATTTTTATATGTAATTTTCTATATATATTTTCATCATATAATATATCATATTAAAATCTAATTGCGTTGTTGAGATATTAATGAAAAGATTTCATTGTAGTGGTGGCAAAATAGCGGGCGTTGAGTGTAGACGGGCGTTGAGTGGTTGATTACGTTATGTATGTATGTATGTATGTATGTATGTATGTATGTATGCAACTCCAGCGCCAAAAATCGAGGTATATACCTTCAGAAGTACTTTCTATCTAATCTAAAGCTCTCTCTACTGCGCAGTTCTTTTTCTTTTTCTGTTTCTTTTTCAAATCCCGGCTTTGCTGGCTTTTTGTTAACAAAACAGGCAAAACAGGCAAACGCAATAGCGCAAGTAAGATGCGCCATGTTTCAATTCTCCCGCTCAATTGCGTTCTTGCGTTCGGATTCATATCCTTATGCTTACTATCGGTTATCTACCAGCTTTTTTTTTTTTTTTTTTTTTTTTTTTTCTGTTTCATCGCGACCCAACATCCATCAATACTTTTTATGTTTTTATTTAGCTGTACACTGCACAAGGACTAGTAATCAATGACGTAATAAATGTAGAATTAGTTAGATCATTAGGTATACAAATAATGTCCCCGCGTATTTGATTCCCGTCACTTCAGCCACGAGTCATCCAAGTCCCCAGTCTCTACTTCAGCCAGCAAAT